CGGCTTTATGTCCCGAATGTGATAAATCTACTCATGTCATCGATGACAGTCCGTAATGACATTCATTAGCTTACTTGATTTAATCCCAGCCATGGGAAAAGAAGGTTTTGGCTATCTACTTCTTCATCTTTAGGGATACAAAAAATGTGGGAATTTTTTCAAGAAAGGAAAAAAGCAGTTAACATGAAAATAAACTCTCTTCCAATTATAAGAGATTTATTGATAGTTTCTAGAACCTGGGATAAGCAAATTGTGTCGTTCATTCGTGTGTGTTCATTCGTAATGATACACCATTAATCTTATTTCTGTCCAACAACAGTCGTTGCTTTCAAAAACATTTTCAGTTAATATTAATTCATTTTGGAATATTGTTTTCGATGAAATGTTTCAGTAAGTAGTTTTTATATCAATTTTCAATTATTGGATTTATTACTTTGTAATATATGCGATATGCAAGTTAGGTTCATATGCCACATCGACACTTTGCAACTGACATGACAAATAAGACATCACTGCAAAAAAGCGATTTTCTGTTCATATCAACTTTAAAAATCGTCTCGTTAAATAATAGTATTCATCAAAATGTATTATTTTTGAGATATACAGATAAGAAATATGCGAGTACACAAAGTACTTGTTTATTTATACACTTTTATCTAAAAATATCTATTACGCTTCGATATTATAGTAAGTGTTATTTCCCCTTCGTCAAAGATAATCCCGACTCAGTTTTTCCACATTAATTCATAACTCGAAATATATTTTACCTGTTTAAAAAAAAATCAGTTTTTCCGTTAATCAGCTGTCGCCTCCATACGAACGACAACTCTCATAAGTTGAGAACTTGTGCGAGCTAAGGACTAACGAGGTCTTACCTTTTAACGTGTGATTCCTAACACGGTTAGGTTAGGTTAGGTAATACCAATAATAGAGAACTACCTTAACAAATTTTTCTGCGAAATATTTTTGATATAAATTGATGAATGTAGACGTTACTACGTGGTAGGAAATCATCATGAAAAATGAGAAATGAAACTTTCTGTTTCTTACCACTTTTATTTTGTAACAAACGTTACTGCAGTTTTGGCCTATAACTGCAGTAACGTTAGTTACAAATAAAAGTGGTAAAAAACATAGAGAGTTTCATTTTTCATTTCTGATATAATTTGTTGAATAATAAATTCTCATTTTGGTGACTACTCAATTATCTACACTGGCATCACTTTCTGTATTGTCAGGCACACATAGAGGAGAATGAACCCAATGTATTCTTTTATAGAGAATTATGATAATTGTCACCAAGATTGGTTTTTCTATTTCCATTCATTCTAATTCAGGATAGATAACCTTTTATGACTGCTGACAATTTCAATAAAAACAATTTTTTTAGTATATTCAGAGTCAATCTTGTGGCGGAATATAAGGAATCGAATAATGGCAAAACTGTTTAATGATATTTAGGTACATTCAACTGGATGGTCAAGTCGTAATGCAAGAATCGATACAGAAAATCTCGCTTCTGTATCTGTAGAGTAGGGAGGGTGAGTGTAGGCCCACAGCACTTAAAGCCACATGTGACCCACTGTACATCCTCCAGAGGAGTTGTCCTCCTAGGTCATCGTCCATTCTGTCCTTTCCAGGAAAGTGGACGGGTCACTGGGAGACATCTCCTTTATATCGGCAGGTGCAGGCCAAGATTCGCCGAACACACACCATCTTATTGACGATAACTCCGGACACTCGCATTGGACATGCCTGACAGTTTCATCTTCCTGTTCACACATCCTGCATAGAGGTGTGTCCACTAGCTCCATACTATGGAGTTGTTTCTTCAGTTGACAGTGGCCAGTTAGAAATCCTACTGTTAAGCGTAGATTTTTCCTGGTCATCGCCAGATGACCAGCCATGACCGCCAGGCGCCAGCTTCTCAGGGTCGCCATGGGTGATCCTGGCAAGATTGCATCCTTTGATTCCATCGTATCTCTTTAGGGATTGAGCATGGGTGTAACGTTTGGCTAGTTCCGCAATTGTCGAAGTCATCAGGCCGCAGGTATCACTGGGTCCTAAAATTCTTAGTCCAACCGCTTCCTTGGCTAGAGAGTCGGCAGTGCGATTACCTTCACTCCTGTCGTGACCTTTAATCCACTTCAGGATAATGTTATTACCTACCGAGGCTTTGGCTAAATCTTGGTGGCACTCTAGTATTAGTTCTGGGGTAACACGTTGTCTGTTCAAGGCTAATAGGGCTTGTCTGCTATTAGTGCAGCTTGTTATGTTTTGGCCAGATATTCCTTTCCTGGTTATTTCTTTTATGGCGATTGAGATACCAGCCAGTTCTGTTTGAACCACGCTGGTATTAAAATCTCACTTAAATATTCGATTATGAAATAGTTGCAAAATAGTGGAATTACGAAGAGGGCCGACAAAATTACTGAATCTAAACTATATTTTTCTGAGGTTGAATGTCGCAGAGGATTCACGTACCGAATTCTAAAAAAAAAGTAGTGGTAAATTTTCGGTACGAGAACAATTATCACCAATGAGTACAAGTAGCTTTCCAGTGGGATCATAAAACCTCCATGTATAAGTAGAAGTTTTCCACGCTACAGCAAAATCAAACAACAGGTTCTATCCGAAAATGGCTACCTTTTTTGAGTCTGGGAAGGTTGGAAGATTTAAAGAGGAAATTTGAATAACAATTCAAGAGACGAATGCAGACATTCAACGAACCCTGCAGAAGTTCAGAAAAGAAAGAGCAACTCACCTTACCTATTACCTTCCTACCCAAGCTTCAAGGAGTGCGTCAAATAAATCTGAGTGTAGACCTTCTCAGATAGTCTGAAATACATGAACTATGAGGTTTTTTTAGCAATGAGTATTTATAACATTTCGAACTGCAACGGTCAGACAGACCAATTGACTCAAGATTTTACTCTAAACCAAATTAACAGGATTACAGTAAAGAGCCTATTCTTCCAAGAAAAACATAACTTTTAGACAGAAAACGAGAAACAGAACCCCTTCAATTCAAATCATATTTTTGTTAAGTGTTACCTTCTGGTAGTTGGTACTGACCTAATTCAAAATCATGATAGCTGTGAGCGAGTTTTATTCAAGGTCATTAAAATTGGTTACTAGACGGGATACCTCGTTTCGTTCAGAGAGTTGATATGAGATTTTGTGTTGGTTGAAATATAAGAATGAACTTTAAATTACGAGAGGTCGACAGATAATGCCTCATATAACCTTATACTAATGGGTAACCTCACCCGTACAAAAAGAGCTTCGAATTTTCCACAATGTTCTAAAACATTCCGCAGTATTCGAATGGAATGTTTCATGATGACCTGGAATGTTCTCGAAGGACGAGGACGAAACTTTCTACGCCTATATTTCCAAAAGTATGCCCTTCAGGTAACCTTTTAGATAACCTTCTCCGAATTTTCCGAGATGTTCTGAAACGTTTTGGAATCCTTATGAATACTTTCGATTGATGTGTATTTACTTGGAAAGGCAAATAATTTCAGCTGTTATATCATCAAGAGTTCACTTTTCAGGTAAAAATAGGGATGGGGAGAAAGAGGGTTGTTGACACAACATATAACTCTCTTGATCGTTCCACAAAGGGCTGAGATGTTCCGGGGTGATACTGAACGTTACAGATTATTTCCGAACATTCTACCATATTCCAAAATGTTTCGGGATGTTCTGGAATGTAAGAATGCTCTCGAACACGCTTTTGGATCGTTCTAGAACTTTCTAAAGAGCGAAACTTTTAACCCTTATATCTTCAAAAGCACGCCCTTCAGGTCAAACGGGCACGTTTTTAGGGAACAAGCACATGCGACACTGTGACGGAAAAATATACAGTGTGTCCCAGCTGAAACCTGACACCTCCTCATCTGCGAACTCGTGAAACAAATTGAAAAACTTCAACACACTTCAAGCAACACTTGATAGATCCTCAATTTCAGTAAATCGATGTATTTAGGATTGAATTCCCTTCAGAATGATTTATCACAAGTATAGTAGTTCCATTGAAAATTCTGAAGTAGGAGGTGCTGGGGTTGAGGGGGTTGACAACACAATGATGATGTATTTGATGAAAGTGTTTTTCCTTGAAATAAAAATGTATGAGTCTGAGCAATTTTCAATTTTTTTCACGAGTTCGCAGATTCGGGGGGTGACAAGTTTTAGCTGGGACACACTGTATGTTCTGCTACCCGTATGAAACTGAGTNTCTCATTCTATATCTATTCTTATAAATGCGACAGTCACTCACATAACCGTCACTCATTCATCTCTGTTTCTTCATGTTTCTTCATACTGGTGAGTCCTAGGAAGCTAAAATTTGGTATATGGGTGCTTCTTAGGTCTTATTCCAAAGACATACTAAAAACACCAGACAGTTTGTCTGATGTTATCGGGTTCATCAGCCGTGGTCCACAGGTTTTTATATCTGAGGTTTCGTCTGCTACTGCGGTATACATCATCAAAGGCGATGTGGCAACAGCCGAAGTGAGTAATGTTGAGTATTGAAAGTTTTGAGAGCTAGGCTATTACTATGGTGATATACGTTGCCTTATATAGGTAAATGACTAATACCATAATCTTTCTGTTAGAATACAAACTGAAAACAGTTGTTTGGGATAGAGCAAATTTTTATGTGGGAATTTTTTGCGAATCAATGGGGCCATTTACGTCTGCACTTATATCTGCACATTCTCAAGGTTATATCCGTTTTTTTACCATTTCACGTTTTCAGGTTTCCAGAATTACCCTGTAGATTCAGACGCGATTTAAAAATGAATTTTTCATGACGCAAACTTTCTAGCAAATAAAAACAAAAAGCCGTATTGGCAACTCACTCAAGCGACATATTGTATATGTCTCAAGGAGAAGCTAATAAACTTGAATTGAATTGAAAATTTTGACATTTGGTGAAAATTTCAAAAACTGTCAACGAAATCTCGTAATATAGAGGCGGAATGAATACTCACTTATAACGTGTATCATGAAAGAACCCAGGACGATCATCCAGCCCCAACCTCCATCAGGAGGAGGAGGAGATTCACTTTCCTCCTCATCATCTCTCCGTTTCGATGAATGGCCCACAGACATTCTGTCAAAAAAAAATATATACCAATAAAACTGAAACATGGCATTTTAGCGTTTTCACTAGCCCTAGCCAGTATAGATTTTATTTGTCGTATATTATGTACCAACGTGAAAATTTGGGGATATATATCATATGTACTTGAAGAGTTACCAAAAAACTAAATGCAAATAACCGTATTGCAAAACTTACTTATTTGCAAGAAAATAGCATTTGAAATATGACTGACTTTCAGCTAAATGCAAACGTTGTTTTTTCACCAAACCTTTCAAATGTTTATGTAGTCACATGCATTTCAACCTTTCTAATGTAAACATGTTATTAATTTTTCGAAAAGCAAAATATATGGGCCGTTCATCAGATACATTAGCCATAACTTATTGAATAAGGAAGTAAAATGAAGAGAAATCACACCCACCAGTGTTGAAAACTAGCCCACTTGTGTATTTCAGGAAATTCAATATTTATAAAAGAAAGAATTGATAAAATAACAAAAGTTAAGGTTTATGCATCCAAAAAATCGCCAATTAATTATTGTTTTGTTCAAATACATTAAGGCGTTCAACAACCGAATACGATTACGAATTGAAGAACGTTCTCAGGAATCAAAAGTTAACAGGCTTCGGGCCAGCGAAAGAGATACTGACTCCTGTTTGAATACATTCAGGGATCGACAAGACAAGTTGTAGGTGGATAGACTGCATGCTTATTGGAAGATTGTAATATATAAACATTATGGGGGAAACAGTCGTGGCACGGGTAGCAAGGGGCTGTCCTCGGGGATGGGTGTTCTATCCCCTCTGTTATGGAACCTTGTNAACTTCATATATAGGTCCTGAACCAGCTCTGGGGGTACCAAAATCATTGGTATGAAACCAGATTAGGACGTGGACCAATAAGAAGCACACAGAGTACTGGACAAAAGTACCAGGCAACAAACACAGTAAAACCTTCATTAGGAAACCGTCCGAGAAATGAACCGGAGAACTACTTCAATATAGTAGGGATCGGCTCAGAATAATTACAGGGTTACTAACCGGTCATTGTCCGCTTAGAGAACACCTGAATAAAATGGGGCTGTGCAACGGAGACCTCAGCTGCAGATTATGCAACGAAGGGATAGAAACAGCTCTACACATCTTATGCGAATGTGAGGCACTGAATCACAGGAGGCAGGCAATATATGGACGTACGAAATTAAATCCAGAAGAATATGACGAACATCCAACACACGGAACCTGTACAAACTAGTACAAGGAACGAGACTGATGGAATGGATGTCATGAGAGGATGGGAGAATAAACGCAATAAGCCCAAGAGGCTGGAGACTGGGACTAAATGGACAAGTCAGACAGCTCCCAAGGTACAAAAAAAATACATTCAGTGCACATCATATTGAAAAAGTATTAGTCAAAAAATATCTTCAAAATGCAGCTTAGTGAAACCGTTAAGCTATGTATCCATCATCACATATCCTTCTCCACTCTAGTGTGGCACGAGTTGTTATAATCTCTATACTGTTTTAGAATGAAAACATTCATGACAGTGAGAAACGTTGTTTTCAAAAGTATGCATTTTTAAAATTGTTTATTGTAGGTACAGTTATTTAAAAATTCGAAAAAAAGCTCAAAAAATAAACAGAAAAGGCATTATTATCCCTCTTAAGTTCCATGGTAATACATAAAATTTCATCCCATAAATCAATTACCTCTATCTGCCTATATGATAGTTTCAAGATTTTTGTATTTTTCGACAGTGATAAACCTTAAAAAATTCAATGCAGATCTTTTTAATAAAATACCTAGTTATTTCTATACTTTTCTCATACACTTTTGATTTGAAGAACTAATAACTAAATTCTACCAATCAAATTATTTATATTAATTTAAAATATGTCCCAGCTCCGTAAGTATTTTTGTTTTAAATAGTCGAAAGATCTTTTGAATGACGTATGTATGTTTTCAACTGCCAGTTACGTGAGCTTTTCAGAAGTGGGTACTGCTATCTGATGAATTCAAGAAACATTGATTTTCAGTAACGCAATATGTGTGAAAATGTCACAATAAAGTGTTTCTTGAATAAATTATGGATTTTCACCAACGGCCGATTCTATCACTATCATCTTATGAATTAATTCTGTTTTGTACTCAAGTAGTGTAATTTTTTTGTATAAGACATACTTTCTTTTTCCTGCTTTCGGGTTTGAAATGTCTATACCTGGTTGATAATAAAAAGGGGTACAAATGTAAAATACTCAAGACTGATTTTTAGGTGAACCCATTATGGTTCTCATGGGCATTTTTTCTTGGAATTATAACAAGGAGAAGAAGCCAGATTTTTACCTGTTGAAAAACAGTATCTCAAGTTTGGACAGTGATCGCTTTGGTTATTACTGAACGTTTGAAATATGAAAATATTTACTTTAACGAATGAAGAAATGATTACTATTGAAACATTTTAAAACAAATTAGGTCTGACCAAAGTTGGTAATCATTGTAATTGTTTTATAAAACTATTTTAATTGTATTTTCATCACAAAATTGAATAGATTATTACCATAGTTAGTGAATAACACTCAAAAATGTTACGGAAAAATTTTGTTGCAGTGTTACTAAAATTTCAAATAATTTTTTAAGCAATACTTTTTCCTATTCTATTTGTTTTCGAAAAATAAAATTGCAGCATCGAATGAATAAACAGTTTAGCTCTATTATACATATCATCAATTGTAAAGTAGTAATGATGATTTTTAATTGGGGTGGTGATTTCGACATAATTTTTGTTACTTGAAAATTGAGACCAACATTATTTTGTTAATGACCCGTAATGTTAATGAAATGTATGTTTATCTCGAACAGTTCATCGCTTCTTGGTTAATTTAGGTTGTATCTTTCGAATTTAGCATCAACAAGCTATTAATTCGTTTATATTGGATCTACAGATGGTAATAACCAACAATTCTTTTTGTTTTCTTCCATAAGCTACATTATTGCCATAAAAGACTCATTTTATAAATTATTCGTGAAAACCGCCTAAAACGTAAGTTTATTTCACTAGCGAATAAGTTGAAAAGTATTGACTTTTGAAAAAAAACTATATAGAATATATCCATTCTGGGGTTTATTTTCAAAAAATTATTTTTCACCCCAAAAGAATGGCATCCAACCCCAGGAAAAACGTCATAGACTCTGGACTAATAATTCATAATTAAAATTGAATCTAATGCTGTTTCTTCCAGTCACACTCTAGCAGCTTCAGAATATTTTTCATTAACCAGACCATCAAAAATTATTAATATTAAATTGTTTATGCTGTCGAATTTATTACCAACCCCTATTTTTCAATAGTCATTTCAGTAATTTAATCATTGTTATTCCCTCCAGGCGTGTACAGTAAACAGCACGGAGTAGGAATGAGAACGATGCCACCGAAACTGTGAATTATCCAAAAAAGTTTTTGAACTAATTGGATTTGTCAGGCATGCCACCGCATAATTTATAACTGAAGGTTGGATCGTTCTGTGATTTGAATCCACCACGGCTGTGCAACGGCTCGCGTTCAGTCGTTAATGAAAAATTTTGTCCAAGCAAGTTCCGAGGTAAAAATATATTAATACCACGAATTCCTATTATACCTACAGATGTGCCAATTCATTTAAAACGTGTGCATTTTTCTATTAGATTGGCATTTGCAACGACTATTAATGAGTCCCAAGGTCAAACAATGTCCGTTTGTGGCTTGGATTTGAGCACACCATGTTTTTCACACGGACAATTATGCGTGGCATGCTCTCGAGTGGGCAAACTATCTAGTTAGTTTGTGTTAGCTAGACATGGACTAACGAAAAATATTATACACTCCATAGCATTAAGGGATTGAGATTATTTGTATATGGGAAACAATGTTTGTCATATAAATTGAATGACTAACAAATTAATCTGAGAATTATTCTTATTGAATTTAACCTTGATCACAATGAAAAGATAATTTCCATCGCAAAAATGCGTAATTTGATAAGTAAACCTTATGGGCTTAATGTAGAAAGAGCAATAATCAGTCTTGAAAGTAACGTAATCAGGGCAAACAATGGTTATCAGTTAATTCTATAATGATATCAACAATAAAAAACAGAATTCACAGAAAGTAAGGATGGATCTTTTTATTTATTTATCACGGAATGTCCATTACAGCATTGAGCCAAGTGTATGTCTTTTTCTTTTATATTTTTCAGTTTTTGTCTGAATGTAGAAAAGGGTATGCCGAAGTAGTTCAAATATACTTTCTTATTAGTCAGTGGGATATGCTTAAAGACTGGCAGTAAACAAAGCTTAAGAAATGAACTTTAAACGTTCAAGCCAGTCTCGGATATACCTACACGGTAGGTTGAATGGACTAACGCCTATCAGAAAATAACTACTCTCCTGGCTAATACGTTGGATTATATCTGACAGGCGTCAGTGCAGGAATCTTCACAGAAAATTTCCTGCATATGCAATTGAAAATACAACTGAAAGAGTTGAACCCTCAATTTTGGAACGGGCAAACTTGCAGACCGGTTTCAGGCTCATTAGCCACTCGTCAGGGCAAGATAGTGGCCATCATCGACGTAAAGTCAATGCGTGCTTTCAGGGGGATGATTATTGGGTTGAGAAAATGATAGTTTGTCATCCAATAAAACCCCAAGGTATTTTATTCCAGATAGTCGTTCGAGATCTAATGAAATGATATAATATGAAAAATCTGTGGATTCTGTGAAATCTGTGATTTCTGTTGTAATTTATAAAGTAGCATTTACTGAGGTTCAGATCCACTCCATTGGAATTGAACCAATGTACAACGTTACTAATATCACTCTGAAGTTGATGGCAATCAATTTCATTTTCAATAAATTTTGACATTAACGAAAATACATTCCTCTTAGTAAATCCGATAATTCAGAAAATAGCCTTAAAGAAGCAGTTCAGCGAAAGATAGTGTGACGTCACCAGATATGCGGGATGCGAAACCGACTAGAAATGGCCATTACTTTCAGACGTTTCTGTGTAAGCAGTGTCGAGTTGAATTATTCTGTTTTGTTGTTTGTATTTACCTGCCTGTGTTGCGGAAGTATGAATAAAATAGTTTCAGAAAGTATTGGGTGTAATTATTCAACCCAAAACTCACCAAAGAAGTTGTTTACTTACTGTTACCAAAAATGAAAAAGTCAAAAGAGCGTTACGAATAGCTACGCCAGGAAAAGAGTTTCTTAAATGAACTCGAATGAAGATCACATTATTTTCAAAGTGATGATTGAATGAATCCATTTATACTTATCAATGAACAGGATAGATAAAACTTTATTTATTGCCTAATATTACCATTACAAAAATTTGAAGAGGAGTTTAACCTAAACCCAAAAAAAAGGAAGCTTGACCTCAAGTTAGCGAGTGAAGACACCATATATTTTTATAAACAGAAAAAAAAATTTCCTCGCAACTAATTAGCAAATAATTAGAGCAAACTAATGGCTTAGTCAAGTTTCTGGAAATCTCGGTAATAAAAAAATATATCGCTAACCTGGCGTCAAGTTATCAATACAACGTGCATAAAAAAGGAACCAAAAAATATTATCTTTCACAGGTAATTAGCAACAAAATAGCGGCAAATTGTGGAATCATTAGTTTTGAATATTTTGAAAAGTGCCCTGCCAACTTGGTATACATAAAAACTTCGGGTATATGATTCCCAACCACTAATGAAGTATGTGATGGAATTGGCCGATATTTGTTGAAAATCCATAACGTATTCAGGTTAGCACTTTATCGTGAGATCGTCACTGAACAGTTTACAAAACCACAACACGTTTCGCTATACAATAACGAGTGTTCATGACAAGTAAAAATTAATTTTTCCTTAGAAATCACAAATTTTCTACTGTTTCAAATAATAATGATAAGTAATTGAAGAAAAGTATTAATGCCTATTAAAATGGGCCTGTAACCCCATATCGCCTGAACATCAGAGCGGTGCAGACAGAATGTATTGGATGATTGAGTGCATTTTTAATTAATATGATTAATGTGAATTAAAATATTGTTAAAATGATAATAATCAATTTTTTTCACAAGTATTCAATTCACAAGAGTGTCTAGCGTTCAATCTAGTTATGTTTTTCAATTCAAGTGCATATATTTTTCAATTCAAATAGTCAAAGTTCATTAATTGATTTTTCAATTCATGAATGTCACTGAAATCTGATGAATACATTTCAATAATTTAAAAAATATTGCAGTGATATTTTTTTCGAACTTTTCATTCCTCAACCAAAAAATACCATTGTTAAACTGTCCGAAAATAGGAAATTTTAAGCTGAAAATGAGGTATTTTTCAGAACTCAAATATGAATTGTCATACTGAATATTTCGATGCAAAAAAATCACAACGCACTAAGAACACAAAAGGATAAGTTTTCATCAAATATTTCTAAAAATAATTGTTTTTCGTTGGAGAAAACAGTTAAAAATAAATTAGACAACCTCCGAAGGTAAATATTCGTTTTGAGGGCACCTGGCGATTTTGAAAAAATGTTTGAGTGTACTTACGTATTTTGATGCGTAGATTACGAATCCGAAAGAAAATATTCGTTTTGAGGGCACCTGGCGATTTTGAAAAAATGTTTGAGTGTACTTACGTATTTTGATGCATAGATTACGAATACGAAAGAAAATAGCGGCGCTCTTTCTTATTTACAAAGTTACGGCCCTTCAAAATTCAGAAAATGGTAACTTTTCAGCCTTCTTTTTCACAAGATAAACTATTTCAAAACACAAGCATTTATTCACTAGGTCACCTTTTTACACCTTATTCCTCCTTCCTTGAAACTTTTCACTTCAACAATCAACATTTTTCCAATAAAAAGGTTAAAAAATATACGGAGCTGCTTTTTGCTATATATGTATCTCTGTATTTTACGTTTTTAAGGTTAATGTCATAGTTGGTACGACTGATGCAAGCATTCGTTTTTAAATTAAGTATTTTATAAGAAAAATGTTGATTGTTGAATTGAAAAGTGTCAATTAAGGAGGAATAAGGTGTAAAGGTGACCTAGTGAATAAATGCGTGTGTTTTTCAATAGTTTATTTTGTGAAAAAGAAGGCTGAAAAGTTGCCCTTTTCTGACCTTTGAAGGACTGTAACTTTGTAAATAAGGAAGAGCGCCGTTTTTTCTTTCGTATTCGTAATCTACGCATCAAAATACGTAAGTTCACTCAAAACATTTTTTCAAAATCGTCGGGTGCCCTCAAAACGAATATTTACCCCTCCAAATCTCTAGAAATCACCTAGAAGCACTGTGAACCAAATTCAAAGAAACGTCAACTATCCCCTTATGAACTGTCCACCAAATCTCTGTCACTAATCTACCCATTAACAATCCACTACTTTCCAAATTGAATATCAATAACAAAACTTGGGCTCACCCTGTACGACGACCGCGCTGTTTCAAAACCGCCACAGAATCGACAAAATCTTCAGGCGCCACACTTCTCTTCCTTCCGGCAACTCACATCACACACGTGCGACTTCAGCAAGTAAAAACAAAAGAAACACAAAAACAAAAGCGCACTCTTCTTCAGCAAGCACTCGAACACGTGGTGACTAACGTGACAGACGGAGTTGCTGGATCAAGACGGCCACGACGACGCCGATATTCGACTGTCGTTAGCATCGTAGCAGTCCAAGGAAACGCGTGCTGTTTCGTCGCTCGTCCCCCCTACTGCATTATTTTCTTTATCTGCAACAAACATTGAATTATTCATACTGATAAGCGCGGGATGATTGTTGTTGAGAGTTTCGATAGCTTTGTTGCTGTGAGCCATTTGATTCGATAAAAATGTCCCTTGTAATCATATCTCGAAAATATATTTTCAATGAAAAAATTATGATTTTTCCCGAGTAGTGATACTTGCCCTAATTAAGAATTTTTATAGAATAAAACTAGCCCAACAGGGAAATATAAATAAATGATAACAATGCGGACGTGTCCTTTCCTCTCTTAACTTTTGAACAGGACTAAATGTCAAGATCAAACAAAATTTACATGTGAAAGCATCATCTTTTACTATTTTTTGAGAAACGAAACACTAGTGTTACGTCATTCGCCCTCGAGAGAATGCTATCAAATTTTTTGTCCAACTATACATGAACATCTAGTGATAGATACCTCATTTGATAGGCTTCTCACTTATCCATTTAACACTGGTTTATTTTTCGAAATCGAAGTAGCAGTTCTTGAGAAATTAGCTGTTTTGTATTCTTTTCAACAGTCTGTTAACAAACTATTTTTTTTTCGAGAACAAGACCTCGTTAGTCCTTAGCTCGCACAAGTTTTTCAACTTCTGAGAGGTGTCGTTCATATGGGGGCGACATCTGATTAACGGAAAAACAGATTTTGAACAGATTTTTCAAACAGAAAGCGGAATTGTCTGTCTTGACATTATTATATCTGTTTCGGAGATATTATCTTTTTGGAGAAAACCAATGCCTGAGTTTTCGTGGCATTGAATCAATTCAACCTTGAACCTGGTTACTTTCACCCCAATTCGAAAACAGATCTAGAACCTCATTAAGATATGCACACTCTTGTAGCCTGTGAAGATGTGCATTCTCAGTCGATGTCTTGGAATCCTAATGGAATGACGAGGCAAGTGTGATGTCGTCAGCAAGGCAATATATGTTTTTTATACCAATGAGCCGTTGATATACAATGAAAAAAGGGTTGGAGACAATATGGCTCTCTGGGGACCATCAGCGTTGATGATAAAAGTATTCGAGAGATATCCATCGACGGTCACTTGCAGGGAACGTTCTTTCAGGAAGCTGGAGAGCCACACACAAAAATGATCCAACAATCCATAGCCCCGAAGTCTGGCCAGCAATCCCTCATGCCACGGTTAAAAGCTTCAGAAATATCAAGCGAAACAGCTCTCGACTCTCCATGTTTCTCTCCATTTGGGAATAGGCTAAAAGCGAGCAATATTCCAACAAGAAGGAAAAACTCCTTCCTTGTCAGACAAGTTTAAGAGTCTGCAAAATACTGGTGCGAGTTCATTGGCGCACTTTTTAATTACGATGAAGGGCACTTCATCAAAACCAGACGCCTTGGTGATATTAAGGTGACACCAAAACTTAACTTTTGAACAGGACTAAATGCCAAGGTCGAAAAATTGTATATAAAGAGGCGCCTTTCTCAGTATTATATGATGAAAAAAACAATTTTGTGACGTCAATTATTGCTGAGACAACGCTATCAACTTTTTCCTAAATAGACAGGATCGTTGTTTGATATGTCTTTCAAGTCTCTATCCTACACCGGTTTGATTTTTGAAATCAGACTAGCCGTTCCTGATCACTAGTAATTTCATAGTATTTTTAATAATCTGATAGTAAACGACAAATATGATATTCACTACAAAAATTTTATTCAAAACTCACCTAAGTTCATGACAATAATGAAGTTTGTTCACAAATTCAAATCTATTATTGAGGCAAACACATGTTTACCGTTTTGTTTACCTTTTCAAATGGAAATCTTTCAGAAAACTGTATTAAAAGGAAGGTATAAGATTTGACTTTTGTGGGCCATGGCTGATTCCATAATCCGTCATTCAGAATACATTAATCGATCGAGAGGTAGCCTGTTGGTTGGTATGAGTGGTTGGTTCTACTCATTGAGAGTACACCGCTATGTGAGATTGGTTCAAACCACTATAATTTTCACTGCGTATCGTCTGTCTCGTACTAGGAATCGTACGTTAAAATGTAAGACTTCGTTAACCCTTAGCTTGTCAGCAACAGCTGGTTAACGAAAAAACACATTTTATCACATTTTAACAAACACTTTTTTCAATAATAGGCAAATATACGTTATTGGTCCACAATATCCAAGAAAGGTTAATGTTTTGCGGCTATTTTGTCATCACATTGAAGAATCGATATTTTTGGAAGGAAATGGATAGACGCAAAAGGCCTATGATTTTGTTCGTTCAATTTTCGGACTGTGATTCGTGAAACGTGTAGACGAGCATTGTCGTAGATCAAATTCGGACTTTTCCTGTTGTCCAATGCCGGCTGCTGCTGTAGAAAGTTATAGTGGTGGCTGGGTGGCCCATCGGTGTTCCACCACTGTCTCTCGTCGTAGATGATCCACTTTTCACGTGACGATCTGATCCAAAAATGCAACGTTTTTGGTGCGCAAAAGCAAAGAAGAACAGACCACGAACCGTGACAATTTCTGTATATCATGGGGCACCCACTTTTCGAACATTTTGACCTTTCAAATACGTTTTAAACCATCAGAAACCGCATGAGAGCTGACGGCCAGTTCTTCCGTTATCCCACGCACCGTTTGTGGTGGGTCAGACTCCACCAGAGGCCTAAAATCCTCGTCCTGCCAAATTCCTCATTGATTTTCCGTGCTTCTTCGGCAGCGCTTTGGTTCAATGTTAATTCGTAGAGAAAAAGTTGTCCGCAAATTGCTCAAAGACATCATTTAGTAAGTAATATGCTGAAAAGAGGCAAAAAATAAAAACTTGGAAAAGAATCAACAACATCTATGTATACGGTACAAAGAAATATGGTCAATTGCATCACATATTCCCTATTCAAATTCTGTAACCATGTTGAGGTAATCATAAAAAGATATCCCCTTTGTCGACCTTTCCGGCATTTTGAAGTGATAATTTCTTATGGAAGGATTAACAGCTTTGTTACCTAATGCGTATTTTTTAAGCATACTATAAGCGAATGACCTATGCATCGTCATTCTAATTTATCTCTGGAATATGGCGTCAAAATCGATGAACACCGGAATAGCTTTAAAGACGATCCGTAATTCTAGGTCTGCACGGAATTTGGATGAATAATTGAAGATCGTAGGTATTCATGCTATTCTTATGAAACATACCCAATGTATCCATCAAATGTATCTAGGAAAAAATTGTTATTTATTATACAAGGGAAAAAAGTATTAGATTTTAGCTCGAGGTTGTGTTGACAAAAAACCGAGAGCTAAAATCTAACATTTTTCAGTCAGAAAACTCAGAAAATTGAATTTTCAAACAGGTAGGCTGTTTGTACTTATAGCGTTGCTAAGAAACCAATCAATAGAAAATAAAATATCTGTCAATTCAATTCTGTGAATCATCTGAAAATGGAATTTTTAACAGGTGATGATCAACTGTATTGTCAAACATGCGCCAAACTAACTGACTGTTATAAGGAAACAAGTATAAGAAAATAAAATATCTGTCAATTTAACTCTGTCATTTGATTTAAAAATTGCGAACTTAGTGGTCAGTAGTTATTTTGAAAAATGTCTTAATTCCGAGTTTTCTCTGACTCTACCGGAGTTAGTAGAAGCAGCGAAAGTAGCGCCACAAAAATTAATTATTGCCAGCTAAATAGCGGAAAATTTATGAAAGCGCGTATTCAAAATTCATGGAATGGAAGATGAAAAAGACATGCAGTTTTTTCTCGGAGACGGTATTATTGGCTTATTTTTCGGAACTGGCACAACAACAAAAGCCATCAACAGTGTGTGGTCGAATTATTCAATGATTAAAAGTATGTTACAATCCAATAATAATGTAGACATTTCAAAATATTTCAAACTAATAACATTTCTGAAACAAAATGGGAAAGGTTACACGCTCAAGAAAGCTGCGATATTTACGAGTACACATATTAGTGACTTCTTAAATAATGCTACCGATGAAGTTTATTTAATGGCCAATGTTGTTGTTGTATTTGGGATTGCAGGAGCTTGTCGAATTTGTGAAATCAGCCAGGTAACATTAAATGATATTGAAGATAGTCGGGAACGTTATTAATTGTGAAAGTCAAGCCAACAAAGAATTATGTAAACAGGAGATTTGTAGTTACTGAAGAATTTATTAAATTTTACCGAATGTACATAGCCCTTCGTCCAGCAGCAGCAGCAAAGGATCGCCGCCTGCTTTATGCATATTGCAATGGAAAATGTATCAATCAGGTTGTGGGTAGCAATCAGTTTAATAAGGTAGCTGAAACAGTCGCTAATTTTCTTCAACTTGAAATTCTTATACAGGTCATTCATTTCGAAGATCGTCTGCTACACTTTTAGTTGAATCTGGGGGAGACTTGATGACACTAAAGAAACACGGCGGTTGGAAGTCATCAACGGTCGCTGAAGGGTATGTTGATGAATCGGTAGCACACAGGACAGAAATAGCTAATAAAGTGTTTAGAACTTTTGGCAGTGCAAATCGGGCACACCCGATTTGCGAACAGGTACATCAACGGCAGTTGTGTCCATGGCAGAAAAAAATATAATTTCAACACAAGAAAATTCGACTGTTGTACCGAATAGTTCAAGGAACATATCATTCATGAAATGCACATTTAATAATTGTACTTTTGATATAAAGGAAATGTAACTTTTCTTTAAGAAAATATTCTAAAAGTGACATTTTGTTACCTGTCATCAGAGATAAAATGTCAAACTTTTTTCCCGTCAAGAAAAAAGGCCTTTTGTTCACTGAATGATCAGTGATCGCAGATGAAGATATAAAATCAGCTGTATTAACAACCAAATTATCGAAAGGCAGACTCGGTTAGACATACCAAATCATCAAATATTACTATGGAAAATATTCAGCTTTCCAATGGAAAAGTTCTAGGCCGATTGGTTGCACATATTGAAGAATTCACAACACATCAATTCTCTATGCATTCGAATCTCCAATCAAACACAAC